AACTTTCAAATATCGAGAGCAGTCTCTCTACCCGCCTCACCTCCTCCCACATACTTTTTTTTGTTTTAAAACAGGGTTTCGTGTTATCCAGGCTGGGCCAGAACTCATTATCTGGCTGGGGCAAGAATTGAACTCTTGAACCTCCTGTGTTGGCCTCCGAAATGCTGAGATTATAGGTAAGGGTCACCATATCCTACCTAACAATAAACTCTCTAAATTACTGTTTTCCCAATAAGGCAATCACATCTCTACAACAAGCTTGACAATACACATAAATGGCATAGAGGAAATACTGTAAATCAACAGTACAGCAGAGTAACAAAAAGGGCAGGAAATATTAGCAGATACAGTGCAACAAAGATACAGAAAAGGAAAACAAAACTGGATCAGAAAATAAAAGGCCACAATGGCCAGGTCACAAATGAAAACAGACACTTCAGGAAACATACTAAGAGACATGGCACATGACTCAGCTGTTAAGAGTACAGACTGCTCTTGCAAAGGACTTGAATTCAGTATCCTGCACCAATGTCAGGCAGTTCACAGCTGCCTGTAACTCCAGCTCCATGGAATCTAATGCCTCCTTCTGGCTTCTGTAGACAACTGCACTCACATACAACAAACCCTCATATAGACGCATATGCCCAAAATAATTAAAAATTAAAATAAAAAAAGCTTTAAAAAGGACTTTCAACATAAAAATAAACAAGCATTTCAAAAACAATAAGTTGACTACAGAATTTTAACACTGACACACTATATAATTTCATTCAGGTACAATGTTCCAGGTAAGTATTTCCGAACATAAAAGGCAACAGAAGTATAGTTCTTACAATCCTTAGAAGCAAACGCTATGAAACATGACTCAGAGGTGAGCTTTACTATCTTTACAAAACAGTAAAAGGGGGCTGGAGTGATGGCTCAGCAGTTAAGAGCACTGGCTGCTCTTCCAAAGGACCTGGATTCAATTCCTAACACCCACATGGAAGTTCACAACTGTCTGTAACTCCAGTTCCAGGGCATCTGGCATCCTTATGCAGGCAAAACTCCAATGTACATAAAAAAATAGAGAAATCTTGAAAAATAAGGCAGTAAAGGACGAGATAATAGCTACAGAACAGTCAGAATATGAATTTTAGAAATAAATATAGCTATTGAAAACTACATTGCTTTTACCTGTGCTACAACCACTAAACATCAATAGAATGGCCAACAATTCACCGACATTATAAAAATGCTTTGTTTTGTTCTTGCAACACCCTGAATTATGGACATGCCCGTATTCTTATCAAGTTAGAGGGCAAAGTAACTCTTTGTTACTTCATATCCAAGTAGGTTTTGCTTCTGTTATTTGCTTATTTGGTTTTATACTGTAGTCTGATTTGTTTTACAGAATGAGAGTATATAACTAGGGCAGTCTCTTCTGAAAATGGCTACTCTTGATCTCTAGGAATTTCTCCAACAAGAACCATTAGATCCAAAGATTAATTTTCCTCCCAAGTCATGCAAACTACAAGGAACTCTGGTCCTGTTGAAATTCCTTCAGCTTCTCTGACCTGTCACCTTGGGAATATCACAGCATTTTATATCATGAACAGCCCCAGCAACTCATTTTCATTTTCCTATGCCTGAAAACCACTTGTAGCACTGACAGGGGGAAGCTTTTGCTAACTGAGTCTCAGACATCTCTATTCCTTTGGTCTATTTCAATCTGCATAGAGAGAAAACACTTTTCTTTCCCCTTCAAGTCCAGTCATTTCTTGTATTTATATTCTTTTATTTCTAGTTGATAGATTATGGTGTTACTATAGTAAACTAAATTTTAAAAGATTTCACTTTTATGTGTGTGTGCACATATGTTGAGGTTCCCTTAGAAGCCAGGACAGTGTCAGATCCTCTGAAACTGAAGTTGCAGGTGGCTGTGAACCATCCAATGTGTGTGCCGCCTCTTTAAGAAGAGCAAGTGACCTTAACTTCTGACTCATTTCTCCAGCCCAACATAATGGACTTAAACTAGACAGGCTCAACCAACTAAAATGCCTTGCTTTGGCTGTATACTATGGCAGTCTCCAAATTGTTTTGGGCATACAACAGATAGCACACAGCTTGGTAGCACAAAACCCACAACAGATATACATTGTAATATAGCATTTACAGCCTATTTACATGCCCTACTGTATTAATACATTATGTAATTATAAAGATGTAACAGAAAATAGCTAAGCAATTTAATACAATCTATTATTAATGGCAAATAACTGTGTTATCACTAGAAATTATTCATAACATTTAATAACAATGTGATTTAATTTACTTTATTATTTTGGAACATCTTCGCTTAATCCTTTCTGGCTGAGCAATTTAAAGTTCAATTTGTTTTGGGACTTGGCTTTAAGAGCTGTCACAGAGACCTCATTAAATTATACAGCTCTAACTGAGACCAGGTGATCATGGTCCTGATACCTTCAGCTTTTAGTTCCAGCCACTGAGAATGAAAAGGTTTGGCCAGTTTTGAATTTGCTTAATTAATACTGTTTTGCTACTCCTGACTGAAGTCCAGAAATAAATAGCTACCTTCCCTGATATCACAGGTAGGTTTTGAAAATGTATTAAGGTTTTGGGACTTGTTTTACAAAAACAAATTGTAATTTATTCTCTGACAATTTTATACACGTATAGAAGGTATTCTGACTATAGTCACTCCCCATCCCCTTCTCTTATCCCCCTCCCATGCCCTCTGGAATCCATCTGCTTCTCAGCACATCCCCTTCTTCCTCTCCTGATGTGTTTTAATGACCCACTGAGTCTAGGAATGTGCATGGGTGTGGGGTGAATTGCCACTGGCCACACTCCTGAAGACACATGTCTGCCCCTTTCCCCAGCTATCATTCATTGTCAACAGCTCTTCAGGAAGGGGTAGGACTTCAAATACCCCTTGCCCATACATACTGTTACACTTGAAAAAAAAAAAATGAAAACTGCAAGGTGTTTTAGCCAGGTCGGGACATTTCATTTTCCAACTTAGCAAACACAGATATAAGAAGGTTTAATAGGCAACACACAGGATTTTGTAAAATAAAGTCTTATTTATGAACGTGTTTTCAAAAGTGCTCTCTACAAGGTGGTAGAGCGGAGTTTCGACTGCAGGCGGTTACTTCTTTCACTCATGCTTAAGCACTGTCTCTGTCTCAAGGGGCTGCACTGAAGTCTTTATCCCAAGCCTGGCCTGGTGGTACAGACATGCAATCCCAGCTACTCAGGTGGCTGAGGCAAGATAACACAAATTTAAGACCTTGCCCGAGCCACATCCAGAATGAGTTTCAGGTCAGTGTGGGTACCCTAGTGAGGCCCTGCCTGCAATAAAAACTACAAAGTGAGCTAGGGTTATAACTCAGTGACAGGGCACCTGTGTAGCATGCAAGAGGCCCTGGGTTTAAGGCCCAATACCAGGAAAAAAATACATATTTTTCTTCAAAATTCCTATAAAGTAGCATTCTCAATAAACTGTAAGGTAGATATTGATATTCACTGCTCACCTCATCACAAAGCACACAGACAGATGCTAATACACATTTAAGAACCTGCTTTGACAAAATCACCTACATTCTCCGCAGTCACTTTGTATGTATCAGGATACAGGTTCTCCTTCAATAGCCTGCTCAATGGCTTGCTTATGAGTGAGGCAGCAAATGAATTTCATATATGTCACTGTTAATGATAATGCGCACAATCCTTATTCAAATAACCTGCTTGCTAATTTCTATTGAGCAGGGCTGGCTTCCGGCCAGATTCCATTCAATTTCTTTTCTCCCGAAAGGGAATATCTGCCAGATGTCCCCCAATATCCATTCCCTCTCTTTCTTCTTCAGTATCAGAACCTCTATTAAGCAGGCACAAGACTGTCCAAAGCCCCTCTGCCTCCCCTGCAGATACAAGCAGCCTTGAACCTCAGTGTCGGTCACCGGTGTGGTGAGGGGTTGACATAGAACCTCAAAAGCAGAGACAGGGCTTCTGTCCTTTCCTCTCAACTGCTGGTATTCAGATCAGATGGCTGCAATTTCAACACCCATCCCAGAGAAGGGGCAGCCGCCAGAGAAACCAGAAATGGGGAACCTAAGTCCCTTGAAACTATGACGTTATCACACAGGCCTGGGTTGCTTTTTTGTTTTGTTTTGTTTTGTTTTTTGTTTTTTGTTTTTTGAGACAGGGTTTCTCTGTGTAGCTTTGGAGCCTATCCTGGCACTCTCTCTGGAGACCAGGCTGGCCTCGAACTCACAGAGATCCGCCTGCCTCTGCCTCTGCCTCCCGAGTGCTGGGATTAAAGGCATGCCCCACCAATGCCTGGCGGGTTGCCTATGTATATTGGAGAGAAATACATGACTATCTTTTGTGAGTATTTGGGTTTTTCTGGACACTGCCAGTGATTAAAGCCTATTCAACATACCTGGTGACAATGGATGATAGGCTCAAGCTAGGGATCAGAGAAAGGCAGCTGGGCCACACAGGTCTGCACATGCTGATGCTAATGCTGCTAACATTGCAATCTGTGGGTTCCCAACACAAACGGCCTTCAGGCCACTCGCTCGTTTTGAAGAGACGCACTTAAGGTGTAAACCACAACCCAGCCGAGGGCAGCAGCTTGGGAAGCAAATGAATGGGGGGCTGCCATTGTGCCTCCAGCTCTTCTCTCAGACTCGAAAACCATGTGTCGCTGCCTTGCTGACAAATGCAGACCGTGTCGAATATCAATAAAGCTTTATGGTGACACATAAACTCACAAGGTTCTCCTTTTCCTCTCCTCATAAGCCCCTGTCGAAGAGGTAGCCAGACTCGCAGCTAACTACAGAATTCTCTCCTGGACCATAAAAGTCTGCTGCAAGAGGAAAATGGTCCAAAGTGAAAAGTCAGCATAAATGAGGGCTCTCTGTTAAACTGAATGCACTCAGAGCAAATGTTGAAACAAGGGCAAACGGATGGATGCAGCGATCTCTGTGACCTACCTGAATACCTCCAACACCGTTCTCTCTGGCAGCTTGGGAGCCACTCGACTGAATGCCCTTTTGAAATCTTCTAGAGTTAAAAATCCACGATCTATACGAAAACAAAAAAATTGAGCATTCACTTACCCCTATGAGCCCTGTGAACTACAAAGGACTTCAGTCATATTAGTTAAGGGAAGTCAAAGTTTAACATATTATTAAAATTAGAAAAGAGCAGTAATTTATAGTTGATCTTACACAGGTCATTATACACCCAGTGAGCACGTCTCACTGGAAGAATTTCAGAATACGGTAGTGATACCCCGTCCTTTGGTGCAGTCCTAGATAAGCTGAAAGGCCATGGCCAGCCTTGCACTATCTGGGTCTCTAAGTCCTAGGGAAAGGACTGTATAGACAAGACTGTAATGACGCACTGGGATTCCAGTCTTTGTGACCTGCCAAAACATTAAAGTCTTCCAAACTCATTGTTTTCTAGCCTGGCATTAGACCTATGACATATGGATATTTAGGGGAAATTACAACCAAAGCCAGTGTATGAAACTCGAATGCCACAGCTAGTGTGGAAAATGATTCTCCCAGTCAGATATGGGTCAAAGTGAGAGTTGCAGAAGTGTCTCCCACATGTCCTTGGGTGGCTTGTGGCTTATATCCCCAAATGGCCAGTCCTTTGGCTGTCACCACTACAATATTGGTATAACAGGCAAGCACACAAATCCAATTATGTAACTGTGACTATTTCATCTAGGCGTGTGCCAGGAACTTAGCACCCCAATGTAGGAGAGGATTCCCACCAACACCTGTGGTCACAGCCAATGTGTGTGGCCATGATCTTCCAAGTATACTGCACCACTGGGGATATACTCCCATTCACAGATCCTCAGCAGAAATTCATACATGAAAACACTTTAAAGATGCTTACAGTGCACGTCGAAAGCTGTGAAGAGGTGCCTTATCTCATTCCGATAGAGCTGTGCATCCTTCTTCCTCTTTACGACATCCAAAAACCCCTCAAGTGATATACCTAGAAGTTGGGAGGGAGGGAGAAAAACAGTTTGCAAAAGATGACTACATTCTTCCTTTCTTCAAAAAAAAAAAAAGGAAAAAGAAAAAGAAAGAAAAGCCAGACATGAACAGTGGTAAACATCACAAATAATCTGAGTTTTATCTTCACAAAGGGTATTTACTCATAAATACAGCCAGAAAGACTTTGTGTTGTGCTACACTCTAAGCAAGCCCAACCCTAGCAATCAATAGTGAAAACCAGAGACAGGCAGGCTCCCTGAGCTTCTCAAGGGATGGAGGATCCATGACCTTGAAAAAGTTTAACACTCTCCCTCTGACGGATCCAAAAGGCAGCCATGGAACTGCTTATTAAAGAAAGGTGCATAATTTTCCTTCTAGTATGCTACTTTAATACCCTCCCGCCCCCCAGCCAAATGTCATTTCAGCAGGGTTTTTTCCCCCAACTGGGAGACAGGGTCAGAGAAGTAGTCTCCCAAAAGTCAACACCAATTGTATGCTGCAGATAAAGGTGCCGAGAATATTACATAAACAATAGAGCTGGCACCATCCCCAGCCCTGAATACACCCCACAACGTGTTCAGCAGCCTTAGGCTCAGCTTCCTGTGACTCTTGTAATAAAAGAGCTCAGCGTGATGATATGAGGTTGGGCACTGTGCTTACGATGTCTATTACAATGAATTCTAATATGATCTTTGGAGCAGGTTTAAGGAGCGGAGCCAAGAATTTAGACATTTTAGTGAGCTGAGCCCGAAATATATAGAAAGAGCAGTTCATTTGCATACTGTGGGATTTCCATTTAAAAGTTACATTTTGTTTTAAAAATAGCCCCAAACTATATAGTAAGTATGTGTAACTCTACTGTTTGGGTGACATAACTAATAATATTGAGGCATATGCTTCAAGAGTTTACAATGTTAAGACAATTTTCTTGGGGCTGGAGAGATGGCTTAGTGATTAAGAGCACTGACTGTTCTTCCAGAGGTCCTGAGTTCAATTCCCAGCAACCACATGGTGGCTCACAACCACACTGAATGACATCCGGTACCCTCTGCTGGCATGCAGGCAGAAGACTGTATACATAATAAATAAATAAATAAAATCTTAAAAAAAAAAGGTACTGACTGACCTTCTAGAGGACCCTAGTTCAATTCCCAGAACCTACATGACAGCTCACATGGCAGGTCCCAGTTTCAGGGGACCAGACATCCACGGCAAAAACACCAATGCACGTTAAAAATAAATAATTTTCTTAATCTTATTTTTTCTTATTTGAGATTAATGACTTATAAGCTTTAAAAAATCTATGTAGCTTTGTGCTTTTAAATGATTATTTTACAAGTTTTAAAGACCACTATGTGCTGACCACTGCAATAAATGCTGGAGGTAGAAGGTGAAAAAGAATGTGATTCCAGTTCCAAGGGAAACAGCGTACTATGGGAGGTGGCCATCATGCAGTCCAACTGCAAGAGTGGAAGACTGTGCACGGAGTCCTAGTAGCATAGACTGGAGGAGGGGGCTCTTAGAGCAGGAGGTATTTAAGCTAAGATCTAAACCGTGAGAATACGGGTGGCTACAGAATGAGAAGAGGAGCAATCCAGACAGTGGAATGGCAACTAGAATGCGCTCAAAAGGAGAGGAAGAAATACAACACAAAGTTGACAGGGGACACAGGGCCTGAACTCTCAGCCTTTGGGGACTGAAGTAAATAACAAGGGCTTTACTGGTGTTGCAATAGGAAGCCAGGAAAAGGTTTTCACTGAGAAGTGATATCATCTGGTTTCAGGTTATTGTTATTGTGGAAGAGGACTGGGAGTAACAGCAACAATGGAAAAGGAGAGTCGAGCGAAAAGCCCCACAGGCATTAGCAGTGGAAGGGAAGGGTGGGAGGCCACGCTTTAGAACAGAAATGATACAGCTTAAGGAGTGGCATGTGGCAGGTGAAATGTCAGACACAGCGCAAAGGTCTGTATTGAGTCTCAGTGGTCTGAGGTGTCAGCTAAAGGGATGAAAAGGCCCAGGGGAAAAGCAGGACCAGGGGACAGATAAAGTGCTGTGGTGTAAATGTGCTAACTGTGCGACACTTTGGAGACAGCTAAGAGGGAAAATGACGAGCAGGCAGCTGGCCTTACTCCTTAGGGAGCAGGCATTATCTCCCAGCTACAATGTCCGGCAGGTATTCAATAAATACAGTCATCCACATCCGTTGGTGTCCACCGAGGAAGGGGGTTCCAGGATTCCCCTGGAAGGTATCAAAGCTGGAGGATGCAAAACTCCATCATTCAAAACAATGTAGTGTCTTGAGTATAACCCTACACAACTCTCCTTTAAGCTTCAAGTCCTCTCCAGATCACTTGTAGTAGTTAACGTAACATAATTGCTACATATGTAATTGGACTGCATCATTTAGGCAATGATGATGGAGAAAAAGACCACGTGTTCAGTTCCGATTTTCTTTTTTTTCAAATTCTTTCCACTGTAGTTGGCTGAAGAGCAGCAACTTTGGAAACAGAGGATAGACTGAACTGCACTGAATTAGCATATGCAGTATTTTTTTTTCCTGTAGTTGCTAAGGGCAGAGATTGATGCAGCTCCATTCCCATCTAATCACCCTGTGACCAGAGAACATATTTTAAAATGCTAGCTGGGGTTGAAATTGAAGTCTAGCCATGCATGTTCCCAAAGATCATATCCATAACTTTAGTTTCATGAACTCCAAAAGCTAATAAATTAAATCACATCTAGAGTTGTTGAGATTCCTGAATAATTTATTCATGGGTGGTGTGCAATCTGTAAGACCCATCAGCATCCTACCCCAGGCCGTGGTCCAGCCCTCTAGCAAGCATCCTGGTGCTTCCTGTATCCACAGGCTCTTCTCACCTAGAGCCCTGTGCATGTGAACACATTGCCTGAAAGCACCTCTTGCTTTACTTCTCCTAGTGAATTCTTACCACACATCTCCTTCCAGATGCAACTGAAGCATCATCTCCACTTTAAAAGTTTTCTGGTGTCTCTCAGCTGAGTCCCTTTGCTGTGACCAGCAGCCCAGAGGTCATGTGGCCTGACCACAAGTCTAGCTCAGAGATGCTAGGGAAAAGGAATATGTGCTGTCCGAAAGTTCATCCCAGTGTTCAGCATGAAGTCTGTGTGCAAGAGGCATTCATTAAATGCTTGCCAGGTAAGTAACATGTACTGAATAAATAAGAATGAGCACGGAGGTATCATTTTTAATTCTCAGCAAAAAACAAAACAAAAAACCAAAAACCAAACAAACAAAAAAACCCGTAACATTAAGATGAGTGTTTTGAATCATCTTTAATTCCAAAAAAGTAATGGCAAAAAGTGAGTCATTTTTTATTTACATGGCCAGCAAAATAAACCATACTTTAAGAAAGAAAACAGAATTCAGAGAGGAGGAAAGCACATGCCTGAGGTCTGCTTTGATCTCTGCGCCTCCCTCAGAGAAATGAGGGTGGAGTATAGCTGCATGATTCACTGTATGAGAAGGCAGCATAGGAATGCTGTTGTCGTCTTAATTACATATTCGGATGACACATCCGTATTTGGAGTTAGAAAGTATGCAGGTCATCATTTCACAGTTGCATGGTAAAAAAAAAAAAAAAAAAAAAAAAAAAAAAAAAAAAAAAAAAAGCAAATGCTCTTTAGTTTTTAATGGAACAAAATATTTAAACTGTTTACTTCCATTTAAAGTGAAAAAAATCTAATAACACAAATAACACCATTATAAATAGTCATGTCTTTTCATACTATTTCGCCCCACAGAGTCATATACCTCATATTTTAAACTCAGTGGAGGGGGGGTCAGAGGCAGAGGTGCACATTAAACCATGTGTATTAACACATGGTCCACAGCATGCCTTCAGGTTGTTTCCCAGGGCCACACACATCCAAACACTAGCCTGTTTTCTGAAAACTAAGTTTTCATTTAGCACAGCTTTCCTGCCGTAATACCACAATGGCTTTCCAAAGCCAATACTTAATAATTTACTATTCTAAAGCTTTGCAACAAACACAGTGATGTAAGGTCTGTAGATCTTGCTGCCTTTTAAATGGCCTAGGAATAGAATCCCTACTTCTAGCTCCACCTGCTGCCGAAATATTCAAACCGAAAATTACCTCTTCAAAAGGACTCGAAATAATTCCATTTATGTCAGATTTTGTACCCAGGGCATTACCTGTACCCTCCATCCTGGAACAAAAGAGTATGCTCCAGAAAATTCTAAATTCAAACACAATATTGAGTTCTCTATGTATAGTGCTCCACTTTAACACACACACACACACACACACACACACACACACACACACACACACACACACACACCTACCTCTCTATACAACAACACCAAGAAGTACAGGGTTTGGCTCTTTATTTGTGTTTTATAACACATCTACAAATGTGGACACCACCTGCCAGGGTACCCAGACTCTACTGGTGCTTTGTAGACGTTTTTTTTTTTGTTTTTCTGTTAGCAAGATCTTTTTAAATAACAAAACAGCCCCCACATCTCCTTGTTCAGCAGTATCACTGGGAATAGCCACACAAGATGCCAAACTGAAGCTCACAGCTTAGTGACTGTTAGCTTCCTGCACGCTGACAAATACAAGGCAGATAATCAAAAGAAGCAGGTTTATTTTTGCCTTTGGTTTCAGAGAGTTCAGTCAACGACCCCTGGATACTATTATCATGACTGGAGTGCATGATGGGAGAAACTGTCCTTTTGATAGTATCAGATATATAAAAAGAAGGGTGCCCTGATATCCCCTTCAAAGGAACACCTAATTTCCTTGGACTAGGCCTTGCCCCCAAAAGGCCCCACCACCACTAAGGGTCATCACAGGTTAGTGACCCAGCTGGGAAAACACAGCCTTTGAAGAACATTTAAGGTCTGTCCGAAAGTCCAGTAGTTTTTACAAATCCTTCCTGATTCTGGGCATTTTCTACAGGACTGGAAAATATGTCCTTCGATTTGTAATCTA